AATTAAGCAAATCGTATTGAGTCCCTGTTTGGTTTAGATAACAAATAATTTTTTAATAAATTTTGATAAAAATTAATGAAATATGTGATTAAAAAATTGTGAGTCCCATAAAAAACGTATATTTAAAATTAAGTATTAACTTAAAATTGGATTCTAATCTACTTTTTTTTTTAGAACAAAATAAGGGATAATATAAATTTAATTTACTTTTAAACTTGGCCATAAATTCTCCATCGTACACCACCCCACGATGAATCCCGATAAGAAAGTTTATCTGATTATTTTAATTTTTATCATCTATTAATGGTTAACTTTAGTAGTCATCCCTTTTTTATTTCTTAAGCGTGTTAGTTTATACAAAATTAAAAACAAATAACATTGCTCATAATGACGACCCCAACATCATAATATTATTTTGTTTTTCTAACACAAAAATTTCTAGTATACACGCTTACAATTTGCAACACAAATCGGGAAAAAACAGTAAAATTCAATGAGCACAAAGGGGTGGTGTGTCTACAAATGCCATTTCCGCTATTCAATACCGCTCAACTTCTCTTCAGCAAACTTCTTCACCAGCTAAAGTCGTCTATGTTTAGCAGTCTTAGGCCTACTTCGAAATTTCTCTACGTGACTACATGAATTTCAAAAAATATGTCGCTGGTCAGTAAATCACCCCCCTCAAAGTCTTGACAGGACCTATAAACAAAAACACGTCTACTTATGTACCTTCATTTTATGAAAACTGTGGATGCGTACAAATCATTGAGGTGACTACAGTTCTAATCATGGAGAACTTGAGGACTTCTATACGGCATTTTGCTGTCCAGCAGACATGCGGAACCGACCTCTTCCTCTTCGTGAACTAATAATGTTAGATGTCACAGAAGTACCCAAAAGTCCTAATCCATTGGCACCCACTAGCCTCAGGTCGAGATTTTTGTACAAGTAGGACATTTGATTTTCGCTTCCTCCAGTCACCTGCTGCAACTCTAGTGCCTGTTCGCGAGATATTACTGTATAAAGCCGAAGTGGTTCATTTAACAAATGTTGACAGCTATCCTCTCTTTTCTCTGAACTAGACTGTTCAATACTGCATTCCCTGCCAGACTTCCGTAAAGTCAGTCTCATAATCCCCAATGATTTTGGGTCTTGGGACAAAGGATCAAAGACAAAATAAAACTCCTCAAATGCTAGATCAGGTTTCTTGAACAGATCCAACAAAGTATCATCGCTGGGTCCAATATTCCTCTGCATGCACTTAGGATTATTTTGTTGTTCCCTTGTAGCTCGGAGGATACGAGCAGCTTCTCGTAGACCACTGAGATAGGCACCATGCATGGTGGCAGGGTGTTGCCTAATTGTGGCCTCACCAGCGAAAAACAAACGGCTTCCCACACTTTCCGCGAGTATATCATAATCATTGCCGGATGACTTCACTCTGACATGCGAATATGAGCCATAAGAAAAAGGATCAGTTCCCCATCTCGTACATATGGATTGTAAAGGATTAGGCACGTCGATGCCTTTTGGACCATATATGCCTGCAAAATTAAGTGTAAATGCCGTGAGCAGGCTCAACAGCTGCAAATCTAATGAACGGCACAAATTACAAAGTCCAAAAAATTTAGAAAGCAAATGACAAACACATTTTCAACAGATTCATGGAAAGCGTTTTTATTTTCGAACTTTCAGTTCAAAGATATATGATACCTTTGAGAATGCTCAGCACTTGATGAAGAGAACCAGATGGATTTGCATTTTCAAAAGATTGTGCAGCTTCCCCAGCCACCAGTGCAACCAGGACTGGACCTCCAGAAACAGTATGGTAACTGTAGAACAGAAAGAACTCTCCACGTCTATAACTCTGTTTGCTAAGATAACCAAATGTATCCAAGTCCTCCCCCCAGAAAACATGAGGGAATACCATGGCAACCTTATTGAGCAAACCAAATCCCAGTCTTTCTATTGCTGCAAGCTTCTTTTCAGGTAACTCTGGTTCAAAGACAATAGTTCTCTTTTTCAGGACCCCGAGGGGAACAGTGCACAGGACCATATCTGCTTGAAACACTTGGTTTCCGGCAATGACCTCAACTCCTTCATCACCATGCCTAATGGTCTGAACTTTCTTTTCATAGAAGATTGGAATTCCTTGGCATAATGCCCTAATTAATCTCCAGTTTCCACCTGCAAGAAAGCAGTGATCTCCTCCCATCTCATAAGGGTCATCCTGATCCCAGTAAGCAGCTGAAAGGTTCGAGAGGCTTCCGGCATTGGCATATTCCAGGTTAGCAAAATGCCAATCAAGAAGTTGCTTTTCCTCATCACTTCTAGCCACAGAATATAATAGTCTAAGTGTCTCTAAAACTGAACCTAAAGAAATATCACTACCAAATCCACGCATAAATTCTCTCAATTGAGTGACTTTGTCGAGCATCTTATTGAAAATAAGCTCAATATTGGAATCAATTTCTTTGTCAACGGGTGTTCCATCAGGCTTGTACAGCGGGCATTTATCTCTAACCTTATGAAGAGGAATGGATAGTTGCCTAGCCAAAACGCCCAAAGGGTTGGCATGGATACCAGTTATAACACTGCCACCAAGATCAACAGCAGCATAATTGTCCTTTCGACCCATCTTTTGAGTATAAACTCTTCCCCCAGGTCGATTCCTACCTTCAAGGACCACCACTTTGAAACCAAAAGACATTAGCTGCCTTGCTGCTGCCAAGCCAGAAAGTCCAGCGCCAACAATTATTACAGACCCTCCTATAGATTCATGAGGATTCTGAGACTCGAACGCTGGTGAAACCCCAAAATTTATATATCCATTATTCAAAAGGAAGTCATAAGCTGCATTTATCAAGTGTGCATACTCATTACTCACAGTTTCTTTTATTTGCCCTTTGGAAAGCCATGACCTAACATTGTCCCTCCACTTTGCGAGTATGTGGTTTCTCACAACAATATAATCATTTTGTTGTTTTCCACCCAATGTACTCACAACTCCAGCCTCAATTTCCTGGCGTAGTAACTCATCTATTGGAAATCCCAAAGATAGTGCAATCATGGCCTCAATCTCTGTTTCTTTCTCCAAATCCTCGTGTGTTCTGTTCCTTTTCCTCGAAGAAGCACCCAAATGGCTTTCTATCAACTCATCCATCAAATTCTCATCATAATTCCTTACACCTGTTTTCTTTCTCAATGACCTCTTAAAGCCCGAGCTATCCGATACCGAGGTCTCCCTAGTCTCCCCCATTCTGTCCACCTTCCAACAGTTACCAATTCTAACTCAACGTAGAGAAATTACAACAAAACTACAAATTTCTCAACCCAAACGCCACGACACACCTAAGTACTATCGTTAGGGTTTTTATTTTCCACATTCCTTTTCTTCTTATATTCGACTCCGGTGAAATTGACTTGAACTAACGATAAACACTACTCACCATCACCTGTATGTATATAAATTCATTTTCAATCCAGAACCATCTTTCATTTCACGCAAATAAATAAAAAATTAATTCCACTCTGGAAACCTCTTTTTTCCTACCAAAAACTAAACAATCGAAAGCAAGTACAGAAATTACCACAGAATATTAAAATCAAATTGAGCGCTGGAATTTTAAACTCTCTCCCAAATTCAGAGCAATAAAGTCATTTATAGGCGGCGAATTGCTAATTGAAATGGTATCTGAGTAAAGAAATACGTACCGATTAGGACAATAATCGAATTACTGAAAATGCAATTTTGGAGGGCATTAGGGTTTTGGGTACTTGTGAGCTTCGCCTAGAACGGCGTGTTGGGCGAGTACACTCATTGAATTAATTGGAGGGAAATTGTACGGTTGGTGCGCAATTAAATAAGCAGAAATGCTACTCGTACACACTTAGTACACAATTTGGTACACAACTCTCTCAAATTTGTGTGGTCCCACAATAGAGTCTACATTGC